ACTCTCCGTTGCCTGGGTCCTGGAAAAATACAGAGTGTACCGTCTCCCTCTGTCTTTCCACTGCTGATTATTTTTGATGTTGGGCTGATCATGTCCAAACGGTGTCGCCTCCAGCTTCTCTTTAAAGCTTGCTTTAAGCGATTTCACTCCTGTGATTTCACCTATCAATCAGCCACACGACGACTGTGACTACAGTTCCTTTCACCTTAAAGGTTCTCCTGCGCCCTGACCTCGCCTACCCTTTTGCATTGTAGAGGAGCTACTGTAAAACTTTAGTGAGAGTCTATGGCCAAAGATTTTTACACCCCAGGTTGGAAATACGTCTCCAATCCGATGACGGATGAAACAGCTTTACTCATCATTGAAGATTAAATATTTATCTTGCACATCTAAAAAAATATGATACATTTTCAAATATTTTACTTTAAAATTAAATTTTTATTTGTTTTTTTTAATGTCTTTATCAAGGTCATTGGGTGGGTGGGGCTGCGCCATAGCACCCTCTATTGGCCAGCTGCCACTGCTTTGGATGATTTTAGTCAGAAAAAGCATTTTATTCTATAAAACAGAAAATGACAGTTTATTTTAACGCTGGAGCATTTGAATTGCATTAGGAATGCATGCCGGTGTCAGAATACAGAAAGTAGAAGACATGTTGTAAAATAAGGGCAACAGATATGAGTAGAAAAAAAAAACAGAAAAAGCATGAAATCAAATTAGAAAGAGATGAAGGTCCTTATTGATTTATGCTCTTCAAACCAATAGATCTTGGGACTTTGGGACTTTCTTATGCTGAGCTTATTTTTTCTTATTAGTTTGTGCAATACTGTTTGAAACAATCTGTTCTAACTAGCTCATATTGTTTCACCTGGTCAAAAAAATCTGAAAAAAGCTGCAGCAACTGGAAATGTGATTTTTGTTTCACTTTTCCCTGAACCGCACAACCGGTGTGAGTATTCCCTGAACCTTGACTCCTAGTACTGAGAGCTGTAGTAGAAGCATTTTTTCAAGGTGCCACAGTTTTTATCAAACCACCAGTTGAAAGCAGCAGAAGGTCTCTTATTGATCTACAAGCTACAGTATTAGGAGGTTTTCTTCATCATTGGAAAGAAAACTAATGTAATCTGTACTTATTTGCATTTTGTAAGTTTTTCTAAGTTTTGCCAAAATCATTAAAATCCTATTAGCCCTAAATAGAAATGCAATATTCAACTTCGAGGTTTTATTTTCAATTGACAACAGTTTCGGTCTTGCGAAAACATGACCAACTTAACATAAATCATGTGAATGTCTCTGCTGATCCAAGGCCAAGTCATTTCCTGTGGCTTTCCATTCAGCCTCACTGACTGGCATTCCCTTATGTGTCACTTATTTGCAACTTCGTGTAAAAATGTAGGTTTGTTAAAGTTTTATAGAAATAAAAACGTTTAATGTATAAAGTCTTAAATTCAGCAGGAAAACAGAAAAGACACATAACCTAATAACATATTTTTACAGTGAGAGTAAAACTAGGAAGGAAAACATTACTGTATGTGTTGCTAAATACTTAATAGCAATGAAATACAGTTTTTCCCTTGAATTTGCAATCAGATTCTGTTCCATTTGATGGGGAGCTTGGGTGCATGAATAGTTCACAGTAGTTATGTTCCTGCACGACACTCTCCAGGTGATCTGTCTTTTGGCAAATTGAGCAGCTCTGGCCTCTTGTGTCTGCAAGTATTTTCAAATATGGATATATATCAGCTCCTCATCAACTGGAGCGCCTGTCTCCAGCAATTATAGGAGATGTTAACTAATTTTATTTATTGGGAAACATTAAAAAATAAATCCTATTACATGGAACGATGTGGCAGGCAGGGGAGACATGGAGGCATGGACAACTCATTCTCTATCCTAACTCGTCAGACATTGTCGTTTGGTCAAATCGTCATCCACGGCAGATACTGAGGACACTGGGGAACCCCTACTGTCATTGACGCACAGGGTGAAGGACAAGATTTGGACAATGTTTTAAGTTACAAAGTTATTGTTGGTAGCTTTAGGAATGTATGGAAACATATATGCTACTGTTCCTTTAGGTTTAGGGATTGGGACTAGGGTAAGGGATGGATCAGTGTTAACTTTTTAGCAAGTAGTTGGTCAAAAAATGTTTTGCTAGTTACTGCCACAACCTGTCATGCAACCTTGCACATCCAGCGCCACCTGGTCCAGAGCACCTTTATTTCTAAATATTCCATTAATCAAAGTTTTAATTGTGTTTAAACTCTTGATTAATAGGGATTCCTAACACCCACAGAGGGAGGAGCTCCCTCTTTTTCATTGAAATTTCTGAATGAAATGATATGATGACAGAGTTTTTCCAGAGTACTTTTTAAATCATTCTGAGAAATTCCCCTGAAGTCAGCATCTTTTGCATTCACATGATGAAAGTAGGGGATTCGGAAGATGACTGACCGGAGGAGCTGCTTCCGCTTTTAGGCCCTTAAGTAGCAGCTGCCTCCATTCAACCGCCAGTTCTCCAAGCTCTCTGCAGAGGAACAGAGGAAACTGACCAACAGAAAATACTTTCCACAGTATCGTTTCCTCCCATTTTAACTGACTGTAAAAATGCTCAACTTTAACAGCCTGTTCAGGAGTGCGCTGGTCGCCATGGTTTTGGTGGTCGCTTCTGGAGATCCAGGTAAGAATGAAGGAAAAGTGAACTTTTGTCAGGATTCTTTTATTTAATTATTTATTACGGTGAAATAATTTGACGTTTTTTATCTATATTTCCAGGTGAGAAATTAGCGACTTGCTGTACAAAAGTCACTAACACGGAGATCAAAGAGCCAATCTTGGATTTCTTGATCCAAAAAGCCAACGGTCAATGCGTCAACGCTGTCATGTAAGTCAAAGTTTTCCTCTGCTTTGCTCCAAATGATAAAAACTAGATCATTTTTAATGTTGAAATTAGATTCTTGTTGTATTTAAATGAAAATTGCTTGATTTCAAGATCAATTTCTTATTTTGAGATGCTACCCTTATTTCTTGATTCGATTTACACTTAAACTTGTATTTGTTTTAGAAGACAATATGTATTTTGATCATCTACATTTATGATCTTTGCAGATTTCAGACAGAAACTGGTCTTTACTGCAGTCATATAAGAGCTCCCTGGGTTAAGCGGAAGATTCAAAAGTTCAGGTTGGTTTAAATGGCAGTAGAAAGATTCCCGTTAAACTTTGTATCTGCTTTGCTCATATTTAATCCATCTTTTGACCTTTCCTCTCACAGGGGAACAAAGGGTCAGCAAAACATTTTATCTCCACCAACAGTCTCCCTCCTCTCCATCATAACATCCACCACTTCACCACCTTCGTCCTCAACCCTGCCTCGTTCCTTTTCATCTCCCTTTCTTACCTCTGTCTCCGCTATGACATCTGGGGACATGCCTTCTGGAGAAATGCCTTCTGGAGAAATGCCATCTGGAGACGTGTCATCTGGGGACGTGCCATCTGGGGACGTGTCATCTGGGGACATGTCATCTGGGGACATGTCTTCTGGAAGCGTTGAAGATAAGACCATCTAGTAAAAGCTATCTGATCATCAACACCAAAACAAGCAGATTTACTTTGGGAAACTTGAAGAACTTATTTATGTTAAATTGCTTTAGGATTTTAAAATTATTTATTTGGTGAAACATTTTTTTGCTGTTGATGCAGTGAAGGATAATATTTATTATCTCTTGTATTTATAAAAATTTTGAGTAATTTATGAAATGGTTATGATATGGCTGCAAAACTCACTCATACATTTATGAAACTGTTTGAGAATTTGAAAGCTTTGTTCTTAGAGGAAAATATCTGCAAAATAAAAAAAACTCTTTTATTAATAAGTGTTGTAACAATTTTTGTATGCATTTTATTTTCATCATTTCCAAAGATGAATGCTTAAAAAAAAATAAAATAAAGACAATAACCAGTAATTAAAAATATCTGCAGACTATAAAATGTTGGTAATGAAATTTGAATTTGTATTATTCTGGTGTTGACTGGAATGATGGGGATATCGTTGGCTCAATAGTAAGAATAAGAAACTATGAGTTTACAGGACCAACACAAGACTAGACTAACAAAGACAGTTACCGAAAGAGTCTAAGAAAAACATAATTTTCAAAAACAAAGAAAAAGACAAACTTAACTGGATGAGTAAAGCAGGTTTGAAGAAAACAATGTGTAACAGGTGTTATGGTGGGCAGGAGGCCCAACTCACAATCGAGGTACCGAGGTGGACGGACATCTTTTGAAGTCAGTTTAGTGTAAACCAGGGGTAGCCAATTAAAAATCAATGGGGTCCAAATAAAATCGACAACCAGTAAAGGTCCGGAGACATTTTTAATCTGCTCTGTTTAACCTGTTACTTCAAAGAGCAATTAACACTAAAAAAAAAGCAGGTTTTTGTGCATCCATGTTACAGTATACATGGAATTTTTTAATAAAAGAATAGGAAAGTAGAAAAAATTAAAATTTTTCCATTTTAAAATCTAAACTGGGGGTAGTTAGGACGATTCTAAGGGTCCTTGACAGAGGGGGGGCTCAAAACAAGAAGAAAAGATTTGTCCTGCTTTATTTTTCAAATATAAAAAGAAAATCCAGCGGTTAAATCAATAATCTTCAAGTTCTTCCCCATATCTCAGCAGTAAACAATGAAAGAAAGGGGCTTTAATACCACACGCACCTCATTTGACAAAGTGATAACGAAAGAAACAAATTAACTACAAACTGTGTAAATGAGCAGCAGGGCGGTAAAAAAATCTGCGGCTGAAAAATGCAGTGCCCCAAAGTCTGGGTTTCAAAAAGGAACAGAAAGGAAGGAGAAATAGGAGAGAGGGAGAAGACTTCCAGTACCGTGACCCAATTTTTATAGAAAGGTTTCTTAACTGAAAAATTCAAATTAACGATAGATTATTAATCCGTTGAATAAAATAAGATCTGCTGGATACAACTACTTAGTTATTCTCGCTCAATGTCGGAGGAGAATCACATCATTAAGGATGCAGCTCAGCTGAGTGCATCTGAAATGGAGCATGACTGCAAGTTTTTTATTATTTGGTTGTGTTTCTTCTTTAGTTTTTAAGAAGAATTAAACCAGGATTAATCCAGCTTTTAATGAGCCTATTGTGTGTCTGTGAATAAAACAGAGACCAAACAGCCAGAAAGCTCCCAGAGCTGAGAATTTACCTTTATCAACCAGACCAGGCAACAGAGGGTTAGCAGCAGGTAAACACTACAGGAGATGTTTAGCAGGATATTTACAATAAATAACTGTCTTTGTTCCTTCATCATGTAAACAGATGATCAACCAGCAGCACCCCCCCTCCCTGTGACAGGTGAGCAACATTGTGTTCAGGATCAGGCCAGTTTGCATCAGTGCAGTCTGTGGGAATTTAACCATTTTTACCATTTTATATTTTATAGGTTTATACATAAAAATTAAAACATGTGATTTAAAAATAAAGAAATAAATAATGATCACTATAAAATGAAATGGGCTCCAGTTGTTTCTACAGTATCTGTCACGATTTGAATATGGTTAGTTGACCCAAAAGCAGAGGCAGGGAGGCAGAGGTGAATCTCTTGTGGATTTAATTATGACTTAACAGAAAACAGATGCAGGTTATCCAAAAGAAAACAAAGTCCAAACAAACATGAAACCAGGAGTCCAAAAATCCAAAAATCAAAAACATGAAAACTAGTCTAAACGTACCAGAAACCATGGAGACATCCGGGGAACCACAATCATAAGGAGGAAGGCACAGAGAAAAGGAGTTGGAGCATGTTAGATGGTGTTTGACGAGNTTTTTTTGTTTAAAAACAAAATCAATAGTAACAGCATGTAAGAACAGCTGCAGTTACAGCATACTTTTATTCTGTCACTCAACCTCCAAATGACACAGCAGACTCAGCAGGTGGATTTTTTTTAACTAATTAGGCTTTAGTAAAAAGAAAAAAGAACCGGTCTCTCAACGGTGCATATTTGTTTAGAACAAGGTATGATATATTTATTGCCCACCACAGTAGGGGGACTAACCTGTCATGATGCAAAGGAGATTTATCTGTGTTTCAATTAGGCTACGTTCACACCGCAGCCTGAAGTGACCCAAATACGATTTTTTTGGCCCATATGTGACCTGTATCTGTGTCTTTTCATGGCTGTCTGAACAACAAACATATACGAATCCGATCTTTTCAAATGCGACCTGTGTCTGAATGGCCAGGTCGCATTCATCCGACCTGAACGCCATTAATACCCCTCAAAGGTCACTATTCTGCATCTTGCTATGAAGAAGCAGCAAAAAAAACAACAACCATGGCAGACGATGATGCGGGGAGCAGTATTTATGTTTAACCATCTAGAAAAGATTGTGTTTTTATGTTTGGGAAAGTTCACTAGATGCACTCTGGCATTACCACCCATATTTACTTCCGTAAACACAGAGCATGCTAGCCTGTGATGTCATTGCGTCCTCTACTGTGCATGTGGGACACTTGCGTTGTATGACTGCAGTTCACATAGGAGATCACATACAAGTCTCATATATTTGGAAATGTGAACAGCAATGCAAAAAAAATCGGATTTGACAAAAAAAAATCGGAATAGAACATCAAGGCCTGCAGTGTGAACGTGGCCTTAGAGTTTTTCAAGCTGTGAGCTCTGACACCTGAGTGAATCTTCTGGTTTCTTAGTGGGGGCAGAGAATCAGAGTATTGGTAGGCTGGACAATCCTCCAATTTGAACCAACTGGATCTGCAGAGTAATGTATTTGGTTCTCTTTGTTTCTGTCTGCAACACTAGTAGGACTCTCAACATCTTTGCCAGAAAGGTATGGAAGACAAGTTTTATTTCCAGATGGATCATCAAAATAAGTGGTCCTCCTAACTGTCAATCATTATGGTGATATGTTTAGCCATCCTGCATGCTCGTCCTGTTAGCTATGTTTTTCATCAGGCGTATATCTTTTGTGAGCTACGGTTTCAGACAGTCATTGAAGCTCATTTTTCTCACTGCGGTTCTTTTAAAATGGCAGAGGCTCGTAAGAGAATAGGTGTCTACGTTCTCTACGTGTATGAGAAGAAAAGAAAGGGTAGATATATGCCGGAATGCTTTGCAAAAGCAGTATGGGATTTGCTGTCACAGCGGCGACTAATAACAAAGATAGCACAGGCACTACGCAGTGGATCAACAGTGAACTGAGCATCATCTTTCCAAACAATAAACTGACTGAGTTCACTATAAATTCCTCGCTCTATATAATGATTGAGGGCTTTAGGGGTTAGAGCGGACGTTCGGACACGGTTAACTTGTATGAGCCATGAGAACAGTAACTTTTAAACAGAGCTTGCACAAGGAGAAGTGGGCTTGTGCATGCTCTTGCACACGCATTTTTTTTTTTAAGTGGAGAGGGCGGGTCTTTTAAAAAGATCTGAGAAAATCCTCCCAAATACCTTTCAGAGGTATTTTGTGTTAACTTAAAATTGTTAAATATAAAGTTTAATATTTCCTCAATGTCTAAAAGTAATATCATGGTTTATGGCCTAACAGGTATTATCAGTAGTCATGGAGTAGTTAGTTAATTTTACTCCAGTTAAAGTAGTGATATTTTATAAAATTTTTACTCAAAACTAAAAAGTAGGTAAAAAAAAAATTAGTAAAAGTAAAAAGTAAAATACTGTAAAACTACTCCTAAAGGTTTTTTTATTTATTTATTTATTTATTTTTTTTTATCAAAATAACATAACTAGTTACTATCCACCTCTGCCTATTTCACAGCTACATTTTATGTCCAGAATTCTTGAGAAGATTGTGTTCATGAAGTGAACAGCCTTTCTTTTAGAAAACAATGATAATGACATTTTCAAGTCCAGTTTTTTAAATCTTTGCACTGCACTGAGTTTGCCCTTCTAAAAGTTTGTAATGAATATTTGTAATCTATTTTTTTTCGCGACTGACGGTGCTGGTGACTGTGTTGTAATTTTGCTCTTAGACTTAGTCAGTCTTTTGAATCAGTGGATAATAATATCCTTTTATTTTGTTTAGAGCCTTGGGTGAGGATCTGAGAAACAGCATTGCAGTCGTTCAGGTCCTATCTGATGTATCAAAAATGTTGTGCTAGTCTGAGAAATGCTGTGTCCTCTTCTTCCCGTCTTGTATACAGAGTTCCTCAGGGTTCTGTCCTGGGCCCCCTTCTTTTTACTCTTTATCTGCTCCCATTTGAATTCATTCTTAGGAAGTTTCGGGTCTCTTTTCACTTTTATGCAGCCGATAGTCAGATCTATGTCCCATTGAGACTAAAAAAAACTCTGTTGAATCTTTTTTTATCAAGTCCAGCCCCTTTCAGCTGTGGCAGCTGGCCAAAAATGAAGTCAATGCTGAGCAAATCACACTTTGAGACAGTGATTCACACCATTGTGACCACTCTGCTGAACTCTTGTAATGTAATTCATTTTGGTGTTAGTGGATCTTTAATTGCCCATCTGCAGTTCAAAATGCTGCTGCATAAATTTTATTGTGTTTATGTTTTAATACTTTACATGGCCTTGCCCCACCATATAGCTAATATTTCTTACACCCTTATGTACTGCTTTCTCTTAGGTCAATTGCTCCTGTCAGTACCTGGAACAAGGCGTAAGCTCAGAGGTGAACAGGCCTTCTCTATAGCCAGTCCTAGTTTCTGGAATTGTTTGTTGCTGCATATCAGACAGGCTTCCACTTTAATTATTTTTTAAATCTCTTTAAGGCTCATATTTTATTTCTAGCATTCAGTAAAGGATGTTGGTGTCAGTTGATTTTATGTTTTCTCTTTTATTTTCCATATTGTTTTTTTGTTATTTTTTAAAATATTGTTTTATTAATCTTTAGTGCATTTATTGATTTCTGTATTTCTGCTTTTGAGCAGTACTTTAATAGTTTAACCCTGATAAAGTATGATATTAACAAAGCTGGATTGAATTGAATCTGATTAAACACACTGCAAATAATGTTAATCTATGTAAGTCCTTTCTTCTTTTTTCATACCTGTTTATCTTAATTTAGGCAGGTGAGTGAGACTCTTTGCCAATGGAATAAGACACTATATACATTTGAAATAAGAGAAAGAACTGCATTGTCTTATTTCAGGTCTATAATATATAATTATCTTATTTTAAGTGCAAAAAATACTAATTTCATTGGTGGATCATATTATATACCTACTCAAATTAAGATTTAATACACATATTTTAAGGAATTTTTAGTTATTTATAGATAGTTCTTGCTGTGCAGGAGGTGGACCTGTACATTATTAAAAAACAGCAGAGTCATCACAGTCTAGAGCTGAAAGCTGATTATTAAAAACTGTAAGTAGAGCATTTTCTATTGCACCTTTCTTTCTGAAGTTGTTGGACAAAACATTACCTAAATAAACAAACAAATTCAATGAAGATGAATAAGGAGTGGCAGGACAATTACTGAAGGACAAGACGAGATGACAATGAAAGCAGGTAAGTTATTAGTTCGAGGGTAATGAGAAGCAGCTGAGGCAGAAAGTAAGGAGGCTGGGGGAAGATGAAGAAGATGACAAAAGGAAACAATTATGAGTAAAAGAGATGTGAGAAAAAAAATATCCAGAAATATACAGGAAAGAGAAAATAAATATACTTAACCTATAGTAAGGGAATAAACTGATAAAGTTTACAACTAACTATGTAACATTAACAACAGAAAAATTATACAAAAATGAGACATACTGTAATAGAAACACAAATACCTAAAGTTGATAACATTGCTTGTTTTGTCCTCTTAGTTTAAATAGCCCTGTGTGAATAATACTGACTTATAACTCAATGCATCCTGGTTTCTGATAACTACAGTATATATAGTTAAAGTGCTCATATGCTAATGTTGAGGTTTGTTTATCTGTTAGTTGTCCGGAAAACATTGTGACTTTGTGTCACAGCAGGTAATTCCAGACTGATTACCAAATATGTTGTGACATAAATGCAATAAATGCAACTTCCCTAAAAAACAAGAACATTCAGGGCCTAAAAAAATAACCACCCTTAATTGTTTATTATATTTTCATCTGTTAGCATCAGTTTGCATTAATATCGATAACATTTCTAGTTAGATTTGTCTGTTCTTGACTTCAACTTTAATAAAAGTTATTGGGAAGAAATATCATACGTCCATGTATTTGTAAAATGGGTGAAACCGCCCCTAAAAATCTTGGCTGAACGAACCCATGTTTTTTATCATGATGCTGAGCTTCAGTCAAGAGATACAGGCTGGCAACAAGAAAATGTAATTGTTTTACATATTGTTTTGTTCCCTTCTTAGTAAAATGCTGAAAAAAAGTGGGGACTCTTATCCAAATCTCTCGTTACTGCTACGCAGTATGATCTGAAGTGTGCTGACTGCCTTATATTTTTAATATTTTTGATACAAAAATGTATCTTAAAAGTTTATATTAAATTAAATTGAGTTTTATTAAACAAATAATCACGGTTTTGGCATCAGTGTGACCTCTGATTTCCCAGGAATGCCTTACGCCCACACATTTAGCAGTGGAATGGGATAAAAATACTTTTCCTTTTATGAAATCATCTGTACATCATTTGATTTCCTCAGATGTTGAGACATGTAGGGTGGAAAGAATCAGGAAGGACAAATGAGAGGCTGTACTTCTGCTTTTAGAGCTTAAATCTAAGTTCCCTTCAGAGGGCTTTCAGTTCAAAGATCACTATAGGGGAAGTGACTTTCTTTGCTTTTTCTTTATGAATTAATTCGGAGTAAGAATGGTCAACTTGTTGAAGAGTGTGCTGCTCGCTGTAACCTTGATGGTCGCTTCTGGAATTCCAGGTAAAGTCAAACCTAAACTCAACAAAGTTTGGAAGCATAAACGTACGTTTTCTTCATTTTTTTAGGTTAAAACATTTTTGTCTTTGGTTCTTAGATAAGCTGTTTACTTGCTGTAAGAAAGTCAGCACAAGTGAGATAAAGGAACCAATATTAACATATCGGATCCAGCAGGCAGATCCTCCATGTGTTACTGCTGTAATGTAAGTATGAGGAATATCTCTACCAATACCAACTCTGCATTAATTTGGATTGCAGTAATTCAGTTTAAACTATAACAAAGAAAGGTGAAACGTAGTGCCTAATTTCATTCTCAATTTCTTTCTATTCATTTATCAGCAATGTAAAAACAACCGACCTATTCATCAGTTCACTTGTTATTTTTCTCCTGCAGATTTATTACAGAAAAGGACCATTACTGCATTTATATAAAGGCTCCATGGGTGAAACGGAAGGTTGCAGAGTTAAGGTGACTTTAAAAACAGGAGACACCAGCCTTTAAATCTTTCTTTAAAGCTTTTCTTTAAATCTTAAACTCAGTGTTTTTTCACGAATGTTTTTGTCTCATTTCTCTACAGTAATAGAGCAAGAGCTTGGTTATCTACTCCTAAGGTGGTCAGCTCAACCCCTCTGTCACCATCATCTTCATTGCCATCGTCATCATCACCATCCTCCTTGCTCCTCTCCATCATTACATCCACCACTTCCCCTCCCTCAT